TATAAATACTCACTTTGGCCCAAAACCCTAGGCCATATTCTACCTTACGTGAGTCTCTTGCTGAAGCTCTCAATCAACCACCCTCTCCTCCTTTCAAAATTGAGTTTTCTCCATAGAATCTCTCCAAGGTCTCACATTTCCTTTGATTCTTCCTCTTTGAAGTTGTAAACACTGTCTTGTTGAGCTTTGTGAGGAGTGTGGTGTAGCATTTTGAGTGTTAGCTGCTGCCTTTGGGTATTTTGAGGAGCTGAGTTGGTGAGTTGGTTGTAAACACTGTCTCAAGCAACCTTTTGGCATAAAAGGTCTAGCTTGATGAACAAATTCGTGTCTTTCCTAAGTTAGAACCTTGATGTGTAGTTGGAGACCTCTTTGTTGTCTCATTTTCAGAGTTTTGGAGCCTTAGAGGTATTCATGATCACCTCTTTGTCATTTTGATGTTTTAAGCTTGTTTAATCGATTAAAAAGAGAAACTTTAACCATTTGAGTAAAGGAATGTGTTTCTGAGTTCTTTTGATGTTGTAGAATATCTGTTTAGGGAGTCATTGGACTCCCAATCGCATTTGGACCCTTAAAAGTGGGATTATGCAGTTGTCTGTTCGAATTTCTGCTTTCTGCTGGAGAAGTATTCGAATACTTGTCCTCTGGTAGTCGAATACTTCTTGCTGGAGTATTGGGATACTTTTCTGGGAAGAAAAGTATTCGGATACCTTTGAAGAAGTATTCAAATACTGGAAAATATTCGAATATAGTGAGTTTTGGTATTCGGATACTGTGGTATTCGGATACTTGGGGTGTTGGTATTCGAATACCTTGTGGTATTCGAATACTAGAGTGAAAGTAATCGAATACTTTCTGGAGAGCTAGAGTATTCGAATACTCATCGAGGAGTATTCGAATACCTCCTGTAGAAATAGCATGTAATGACTTAAAATGAGATGAAAAGCCTTAATCACTTAATGTAATCTTGAGCAATGATTATTGTAAACACTGTTCATACAGAAGGCTGTTTTGGGTTTGTGGACCCTAGATTGATGAAGTGGGACTTTTGTAATAATTGAACTAAGTCAAAATCAAGTGATCAAGGGCTTGTGGCTTTGTGAGAAGCCTTAAGACATGAAACGTAAAAGAAAGACGTTGTCCTTGTGTCTTATGCTTGTTGAGTATGATTATTGATACGATTGCTGGTCCAAAACAGATTGTGATTCTGTTGTGTTTGAGCTTTGAGATTGGTTGGATTCTTGGTTTGGATAGCTAGCTTGAAAGGTAAGCTTTCGTGTCCTAGGTTTAGCCATTGTTTGTTCCACCATATCGCATGGGGGATGGTTTATATGCATGATGTGTTTTCATGTACTGTTTTTTTGAAATGCTATGGAGCTGTTAAGTGCAAAATGCTTATGATATGTATGTGGTGTTTCGTCTAGCTAGGAAGCCATGGGGTGGTCTTGGGGGCGGGTACAACATGGGCGTGTACTGTGTGGGTAATAGATGTATTCCTGCACTTCTCTGATCAGTAGAATAGTCATAACACACATGACATGATTATCTGCTGCATTGCACTGATTTTGGAACTGATATTGAATTATTGCTTTTAGAACTTATATTGCACATGTAAGTGAGCTTGGGGTGGAAGATCCTTAAGGACCCCTTGTCTTACTGAGATTTCTATTTAGAGATCTCACCCCACGTTTGGGGCGCTTATTTCAGGTTCAGGTAACCTAGGGATTGAGACCTCTAGCGGTAGGAGGCCGGAGCTTAGCTGATATTACTGTTTATATGATGACATGTTTGGAGGCTGAATTATATCTGCTGATGTTATGCTTTTAGCTTGTCATTATTATGATGCTATTGTTGAGACTATGTTTCGCTTTGTTGCCTTATTTGGTGAGCAAGGGGATTGTCCATGCCACATTGATTGACTATGTCTTAGTTTAGAATTGAGTTGTAATAATGTATCAGGATTATGTCCGGACTACGTGTTGTAGATCCGTGACTTAGATACTGATGGGACGTAAATTCGTTCCCATCTAAGCTACCTTACGTTCCCTCATATGATGAGCAACTTAGCATGAAAATTACTTGTTTTACACATTTGTGACAAAAACACAGTGGGGGAACGTATGATGACGTATTCCTTTGAAAACATATTAAAAGGGGAACGGATTGAGAGCATTTATTACACCTGCTACCTTCATTTAATGCTCTGCTCATTTAGCAGGAAACGTGGAAACAACGTCTTCTAAAAAGCAAGGTGGTGCACCACTTAAGCAGTAGAAAACGTGAACAGTAGAGAATCAAGAGTTCTCATTGGCCAAGAAGAAAGCAAGGCATGGGGGGACTGCAGAAAACGGCTAATCATCAACAAATATTGTCCCATCAAGCAACTTGCAAAGCTTCTAAACACTGTTGCCACCGCCCCATCCCTTCATTCAAGAAACCAACTCCAAAAGATTTACAAGACTGCCACTATCTCTTCTGCCTATAAATAGGACGTACCAAACACAAAAACATCATCGAATTCTGGAGGGATTGAAAGTCCTAAAAGAAGAGATCATCTAGTAGTAATTAGTAGTTTAGTTTTATATAGTTGTAACTGTAGTTAAGTGACAACCCTTCTTCTCTGTTATGTATCATCCCTTAAGACTCCTCACGAGCATCAAACCACCTTCTTCATTTTTATGTTTTGTTGTAAACTGTCTTTCAATTTAATATAAGTGTTTCTTCTTTTTGTTCCATTCGTTATCTTTGAGCTGAATCTTGGGTCTATGAGACTTCAGTTTAGAATAATTATGTTTAAAACATCAGCCATAGGCTGAACTATTTGTGGAACGGATAAACTGCAACATTCTTAAAGAATTATTTTCGAAACTCTTGACTGAAGCTTTTTGTATTTCTTTGGCTAAGTAAGTTATATTCATTGTGTATCAATGGAAATTGAACACATACTGAGAAAGGAACTTCTATAAAGAAGGGATTTCAGACAGCTTAGCCATTGGGGGCAGGTAGTGTCATGGCAAAAACACTATTGGTCAGCTTAGGAATAAGGGGCCGCTTCGTCCACTTTAAGGTTCTGTACTGAGTACCTGTTGAAGTCAAGGGAGCCATAGGAATATGGAAACTTGTGAGCCATCTAATCCATGAGCTGAGGAATCGGAGTTGGCATATAAGAAACTGAGACAAAGCCAAAAAGTGCTAAGTCTTGAGCAGAGGAAATAACTATTTAAGAATGGAGCAGTGAATCCGTTCCTTCTGTTAAACTGTTTTTAAAGCCATCCACTTGTTGTCTCTTAATTATAGTTGGTACTGTTTTATTATTTTTACTTTATTTAATCCTGTATCTACCAAATCTCCAATGATGATTATCTCACCTTCTTATAAATAGGAAGGATCATATATATAACGCAGCGAGCAATTGTTTGCCATCAGACTGAACTTACTGTTCCTGAGGAACGTTGTCAAGACAGTAGGGAACGTTTGACCATACAGTTCATTCACTAACTTTTCTTCTCATTTTCATTCTTTATAAAATAGTGTAAGATAATATCTAGAATTCTATCCTCGTGGGAACGATAATCTGGGCCTTAATACACCCATTATTACTTGATGCGTGCACTTGCGCACTTGAGTTGGAAGTAAGGGAACGAGTCTGTGTTCTACCACCAATATAGAACAGAGGAACTTCCCCCATCAGAACTTATATTTTTCCACCATCAGCAAACCACCCCACAAGTTTTTGGCGCCGTTGTCGGGGAGAACAACACTAAATTTTGTTCTTATTACTGTTTTAGTACATACTCTGTATATTTGATTTTATATTTTTCTTGTCACTGAACCTGCTGTTCATATAACTTGTGTTTATGGTTTATGAGTGAAGAGTTTGAAACAAACTCTGACCACTCCATTGAAGTACCTGAGTTTCTCTTTGATCCTGAACCAGAACATACACTTCATAGAAGAAGAAGAAACCTCAGGGTAGAAATTGTTGAAAACATCGCTGATCATAATAATAATGAAGATATTCCTCATGAACAAAATTTCAGAACTCTGGCTGCTCCTTTTAGGAACAGACCAGAGAGGGGAGTAATCCTCCCTCCTGTAGCACCCAATTTTGAACTGAAACCTATCATGTTTCACATGATTAGGGAAGCAGGAGTCTTCAATGGACTCCCTGCAGAAGATCCTTACACACACCTCACCACCTTTCAAGATATCTGTGATAATTTTAAAGCTGAGGGTGTGACAGAGGAAAGTATGAGAATGAGGTTATTTCCTCACTCCTTGGGCTTAAAAGCAAAAACATGGATGAAAACTCTCACCCCTGGTTCAATACACTCATGGGAGGAACTTTCTGACAAATTCATAGAGAGGTTTCTCCCTATGTCCCGACAAGCTGATGTAAGAGCAGAAATCTCTAACTTCAAGATGTTTTATGGAGAAAATCTCTATGAATCATAGGAAAGATACAAGGATATCATCAGAAAATGTCCAAATCATGGGGTAGAAAGTTGGGGAGTGTTACAATCTTTCTATAAGGGACTTGACCATACTTCTCAGCCATATTTAGATTTTGCTGTAGGAGGATATTTTTTTACAGGAACTCTTGAATCCAGGTATGACATCATAGAAGGCACTGCTAAAAGATGTCTCTAATGGCCAATAGACAGGGTGAGCTCAATAAGGAAGCCTGGCATGCTCGAACTAGATAAACAAATTGTCATGGAAGCTCAGCTGGCATCACTCATGAATGAGGTGAAGAACCTGAAAAATGATCAAGAAACACAAAGGATAGAAGTCTTGCAACTCACAGCAGCTGAAATTGAACCATGCTCAGCCTGTGGAGACCTTCATGATTCAACAGACTGCCCATCCACTGCATTGGTGTGTTATGCAGAAAACTTTGGCAACAGGAACTTCACCCAAGCCAGGGATAATCAGCAAGCAGGATGCAATACCAATTCAAATCCTAGAGGAACTATCACAAAAGATCAGAACCATAATCCCCAATGGAGGCCACCCATGAACCACAGACCATTCACCACTCAGCAGCAGTACCAGCAAGGTAGCAGTAGTGGAACGTTTGAACAACAAAGAAGAAACAATTACGTTCCGTTCCACAGAGATGACCAACGCATCAATACCTTGGAAAACTATGTCAAAGAATATATCACCAGGCATGATGCAGTTGTCAGGAACATTGAATCCCATTTGGGACAAATTGCTACCAGTCTCAATACAAGAGCACAAAGATCACTATCAGGGGATACTGACGTCCCCTCAACAACCTCACCAAAGGTAGTACTCACTTTACCCAATTCCCCTTTAGAGAAAATCAAGGCGGTCACCTTGACAAGTGGGAAAGCCACTACACAACTCACCACTTTGCCAGAGAAAAAGGAACAGAATAAAGCATCTGAAGCAGCTCTAAAAGCACAACAACAACAACCAGCCACAGATGAGCAGAAACCAGAACCTGGAAAAGAAGCCAAAGCTAAAGAAAACCAGGTGGACAGAAGTCAACCAATCAGTCTAACTCTAAGCAGGCAAATACCAACAAAAATTCTGTTCCCTCAGAGAAAAAAGAAGCAACAAGATGATAAGCAGTTTGGAAAGTTCCTGGACATTCTAAAACAACTCCACATCAACATCCCTCTTGTGGACGCACTAGAACAAATGCCCAGGTACGTAAAATTCATGAAAGATGTTCTCTAAAAAAAAAGGGATAACAAAATATGAGACTGTAAAAATGACACAAGAAAGTTGCCAGTATCGGGGCAAACTTCCACTTAAGCTTCAAGATCCAGGAAGCTTCACCATTCCTTGCATTATAGGAAATACATACCAAGGGAAGGCCTTGTGTGATTTAGGGGCAAGCATCAATCTCATGCCTCTATATGTTTTCAAACAATTATCCACGGGGCCGCTGAACTAACCACAGTAACTTTACAGATGCAGACAAATCCATTGTCAAGCCAGAAGGGAAGATTGAAGATCTGCTAGTCAAAGTAGACAAATTTATCTTGCCTGCTGATTTCATCATCTTGGATTACGAAGCTGATATTGACGTTCCCATCATTCTGGGTAGACCGTTCCTAGCAACTGGAAGGGCATTCATCAATGTACAAAAATGGGAACTATCCATGAGAGTTCATGATGATGAAATCAAATTCAAATTCAATATCGTGAAAGCAATGAAGTTCCAGGATGAAGAAGAAGATTTGGAAGAGTGTTCTGCACTTACTTTGTTAGATAACCAGTTCAGCAGAAAAACAGAAGGGGAAGAATATGAGGAAGAAGAAGAAGGTCCACAAAAAGAGTAGCAGAGTTGCTATCTGCAAGAAAGGAGACCTGAACCTTTGATAAGAACTGAGAAGGAAAAACAACTCAAACGACCTTCTTCGGAAAAACTTCCTGATCTAGAACTGAAGTCTATTCCCCAACACTTGAAATATGCATATCTGGGGAACACTAACACCCTCTCTGTGATCATTTCTTCATTTCTCACCAAAGAACAAGAAGAATTGCTGCTCAACAAGCTCAAGAAGTACCAAGGAGCTATCGGCTGGACCATAGCGGATCTCAAAGGTATCAGTCCCTCATTCTGTATGCATAAAATATTATTGACTGATCCTAACAGTTTTTCAGTAGAACACCAAAGGAGATTGAATCCTATAATGAAAGAAGTGGTAAGAAAGGAAGTCATTAAATGGCTAGATGCAGGGATCATATACCCAATATCTGACAGCAGTTGGGTAAGTCCTGTCCAATGCGTTCCCAAAAAAGAAGGAATAACAGTGGAAGTAAATGAGAAGAATGAGCTAATACCTGTAAGAAAAGTTACAGGATGGAGAATTTGCCAAGATTATAGAAAGCTCAACAATGCCACCAGGAAGGACCACTTCCCGCTCCCTTTTACAAATTAGATGTTGGATCATCTAGCAGGAAATGAGTACTTCTGCTTCCTTGATGGATATTCGGGGTATAATCAGATTGCTCTAGCTCCGGAAGATCAACATAAAACCACCTTCACTTGCCCATACGGAACATTTGCTTTCAGAAGAATGCCCTTCGTGTCATGTAATGCACCAGCAACGTTCCAAAGGTGTATGTTCTCTATTTTTTCTGATCTAATAGGTGAAGGAGTAGAAGTTTTCATGGATGACTTTTCGGTGTTGGGAACGTCATATGACCACTGCTTGGAGAACTTGGAAGAAGTCCTCCAAAGATGCCTGTCCTCTAATTTAGTGCTTAATTGGGAAAAATGCCACTTCATGGTGAAAGAAGGAATAGTCTTGGGACATAAGATCTCCAGAAAAGGACTAAAAGTGGATCAAGCCAAAGTAGAAGCCATAGCAAAGATGCCACAACCGGGGAATATTAAAACACTGAGATCTTTTCTTGGGCATGCAGGCTTCTACAGAAGGTTCATTAAAGATTTTCCCAAAATAGCTAGACCTTTGTGCCACTTGTTAGAAAAAGATATGAAATTTGAGTTTAACTCTGATTGCTTGAAAGCTTTTGAATCCTTGAAAAACAAGCTCATTACCACGCCTGTCATCCAACCTCCAGACTAGAACTTACCCTTTGAATTAATGTGTGATGCAAGTGATCATGCTATTGGGGTAGTTCTGGGCCAGAGGAAGGATAAACTCTTTCGTAGCATATACTACGCCAGTAAAACTTTGAATGAAGCTCAGGTGAACTAGACA